TTGGAGGATGTGGAAGAATTGGTGGAAGACCACAATGAAGAGCTCACCACTGAGGAGCTGCAAGAGCTTCAGCAGGAAGAGCAACACATCGCAGCTCAGAATCTTGCTGCAGAGGAGGAGGAAGAGAGATGGAAGAAGGTGCCTTCTTCAGAAATTAAAGAGATTTTTACTATGTGGGGTAAGATGGAAAGCTTTATGGAGAAACATCACCCTAACAAGGTTGTTGCAAGCCAGGTTGGCAACATGTACAGTGACAAAGTCTTGAGCCATTTTAGGGAAGTGTTAAAGAGACGCCAGAAACAGAGCTCTTTCCACTGTTATTTTGTGAGACAGGACTCCAGTGACTCTCAAGGTGGGCCTAGTGGCATTAAGAAATAGAGAAGAGAAGCAACCCCAGAAAAGCAAATGGTACCTGAGGTGTTGATGGAAGGGGATTCCCTTCCAAACTATAAACAATCCACTCTCTCTCCTCCTCCAGTCCCCCATACATAAGAAGAATCTCCAATAAAGGTAAGTGTTATGCTGTTAATGTTCATTCATCATTTACCATTTTATTGTTTATGTACTACATGCATATTTCATGTTAAAAATTTTTTTGTTTTAATACTTCTGGGTGTCAGGAACGGATTAATTGTATTTACATTATTTCTTATGGGGAAAATTGATTCGTAAATCGTAAATTTCGTTTATAATAACGGCTCCAGGAACGGATTAATTACGAACAACGAGGGACCACTGTAGTTGTACAAATAATGTCAACCCATTCATGACTGCATATTAGAATGGCTAGTTGGACATTTATTGGACAATGACATCATTTGTTTACTTTTGAACATCGGCAAAAATCAAACATTTCCCCTACTTTGAGCTGCATTTCCAGGTTCTTTTTATAGTAAAACCAACCAAAATCACTTCTATTTCTATAATATGTTTACCATTCTATGAAGTGAAACCAAGAAAACGAGAATACAACCATAAATACAGTACGAAAATAGACCACAAAGTCGGCATTTTAATTTAAAAAAAAAAACGGTCAGTTTGTTTTTTTTCATTATGCACTGCATGCTCCAGGATTTTTTTTATATGGTGTACATTGACAACACAGACCCATTCTCTCACATGTGGCCTACCAGCTTTCTCCTGCTGATTTAAAGCCGCTAGAATTTATGAGTATACATATGTCAAACACGGTACTTCGAAAGAGTATATGACCAAAACAGTCAAAGGGTTAAATGAGTAAAATTAATTTGACACGAGTAAATTGAGTTACGAGCTAGCTCCTGGAACGGATTAAACTCGTAAGTCAAGGTTCCACTGTACTTGCATAATTGTTAAAATTTTTTTTTTTTTTGTGAATATTTTTGTCTGGAAGGGATTAACTGTATTTCCATTAGTTCTTACGGGAAATATTAATTCGGTTTTCGGTCAAATCGGCTGACCTGGAACGGATTACGGCCGATAACCGGGGGGTCCACTGTATACTCAAAAATTCTAGCGGCTTCAAATCAAGCAGGAGGAAGCTGGTAGGCTCACATGCGAGAGAATGAGTCTGTGGTTAGTGTGCAGTATAAAAAAAATCCTGCAGCACGCAGTGCATGAGTAAAAAACTGACCGTGTTTTTGGATTAAAACAGCGACTCTGAGGTGTATTTTCGTATAGTATTTACGGTTGTATTCTTGTTTTCTTGGTCTCATTTGATAGAATGGAAAACATATTATAGAAATAGAAGTGATTTTGATAATTTTACTATGGAATGGATCTTGAAATGGAGCTCAAAGTGGCAGAAATGTTTGATTTTTGCCAATGTTCAAGAGTAAACAAATGACGTCATTGTCCAGTAAATGTCCAACTAGCCATTCTAATATGCAGTCACGAATGGGTTGACGTTATTTATACAAATATTACAATATTGCAGTAGTATGCATAACAGTAAATCTTCTATTTTTTGTGTGAATAAAAATTCAAAATAGAAAGCAAGAGGATTATAACAGGGGCCTGGAGACGTGATTGATGAACAGAGAAAATGCTATTTTAGTGCCAGGAATGTCTGCATTGTTCATTCTGGACCCTATTTTTAAATTGACATTTTTTAATTTGCATGAAATTGGCCATATTGCCAATTTCTGACCACTTTATTGGGTAGTTGAAATCGGTAAATGGGCGGTTTCTTGTACTCAATCGACAGAAAAAATGGAGTTCAAAAGAAACAGCTATGAGTATGGTGGACTGGAATAATGGGCTCAAAGTAGGGCTCAAAGCAGGCGAAATCACCGATGTGTAAATGTCACCGAGGTCGCTAACTCTGCGAGAGCACAATTCCATAAGTTTTGGACCAAATTTCGTACTTTTGTGTCATTAGCATCGGGAAAAGATTCTCTATCATTTCATAAGAAAAAATTTCTTTTCTCAAAAATTTTGTGACATAGAATGAGTTTCAGAAATGGGCTTGTGACAGTCCAAGGATTAAAGTGTTCTTTGACACGTATATTTGTCATGTGTAGATCTATGTGATTGGTTGCAAGCTTGTGTTCTCTAATGTGTGCCATGCCCTGAAGTGTGTTAATTTGTTACTATAGATAAGACAAATACACGAGTGAGTGTAGATGGATGCGAGTTGGACCTGACTAGCTTGGGCCAGTAGGTCTGATGCAGTGCTCCTTCCTTCTTAAGTGAATGTGACTTGGACCTGACTAACTTAGGCCAGTGGGTGACTTGGAACTGCCTAGCATGGACCAGTATGCCTGATGCAATGCTCCTTCTTTTGTATGTTCTTATTTAATACCGTAATTCAGCAACAATCTGAAGTGTGCTTGATTTTGAGGGCAATTCTTGGTTAGGTCATTTTGAGGTTAAAAAAAAAAAATACACCCCAAAGGCCCAAAATATGTGCTAATACTTAGCAGGCTTTAAGATAAAACAGTTTAAAATGTTATAAAACTTTTTAATAAAGAATGCATACATAAAAAATAATTTTGATGAAACTATTCTGAGCATAACCTAATGTAACCCAACCTAACCTACCCAAGTTCATTGTAATAAAGTTGGTAGAATTACCGACAATATGTAAAGTAAAAGGACACAAGTGCAACTAATGTGACATTTTATTGTGGCAACGTTTCGCTCTCCAGTAGCTTTATCAAGCCATTACAAACAATACATGGATACAGAGGGTATATAAAGGCTCAGAGTGAGGTGCAATACTAGTGAGGTACCATTTTCATGTTCACAGTGGTGGTAGTAGTAGTAGTAGTAGTGACAAAAGTAATACAATATGGTAGAGCAATTAATTCGTACATGAGAAAAAGGATATAAAAGCTATTACTTGGGTAACATAAAAATAGGCTGGACACATATAGACTGGAAAGAGGCAGCTTGTTTCAGTGTTCACTCCTTGTAATGTGCTTGTGTAGTATAACAGGAGAGACTATGTTATGGCAGGGTTTACTGTTTTCAGGAGGCTTCTTGCTAAGACTTCGGAGATGGTGAAACTGCCGTTGTTTTGTTTAATTGTATTCAAAACAGCGATCAGTGCTGATTCGAGGCACTTGCGTCTGCGGAAATTAGTTTCTTTGATCACTAATTGGGCGTCTCTGAATTTCACGAGATGATTGGTGGAATTTCGGTGTTGTACACAGGCGTTGTTCAAGTTACGCATGTAGGAACGATAACTTGAACAACACCTGTGTACAACACCGAAATTCCACCAATCACCTCATGAAATTCAGAGACGCCCAATTAGTGATCAAAGAAACTAATTTCCGCAGACACAAGTGCCTCGAATCAGCACTGATCGCCGTTTCAAATACAATTAAACAAAACAACGGCAGTTTCACCATCTCCGAAGTCTTAGCAAGAAGCCTCCTGAAAACAGTAAACCCTGCCATCACATAGTCTCTCCTGTTATACTACACAAGCACATTACAAGGAGTGAACACTGAAACAAGCTGCCTCTTTCCAGTCTATATGTGTCCAACCTATTTTTATGTTACCCAAGTAATAGCTTTTATATCCTTTTTCTCATGTACGAATTAATTGCTCTACCATATTGTATTACTTTTGTCACTACTACTACTACTACTAACTACCACCACTGTGAACATCAAAATGGTACCTCACTAGTATTGCACCTCACTCTGAGCCTTTATATACCCTCTGTGTCCATGTATTGTTTGTAATGGCTTGATAAAGCTACTGGAGAGCGAAACGTTGCCACAATAAAATGTCACATTAGTTGTACTTGTGTCCTTTTACTTTACATACCCGAGTTCAGCTAAACAACATTCAATTATGGCTATTTAACTGCCTTTTTTACATAACCCATTGAATACTGATGAATTTCCATAATGGAAGTCCACCCAAGGTATAATACTACTTTGTGTGCATGCTTAAGTTTTGAAATTAAAAATAAAAATTTAATTGCATATTTTTGACTCAAAACAATTTGAAACTTTTACAATAACTGTATATACTACATTATGTAGATATGAAACAAGAATCCGATCAATTCAAACAATGTGACATCTCCAATGGCTTGTATGACTAATAATTTATAATTTACCTACAAACAACGGTTTTAAATGTCTTTTGTGCTTACATTACAAAATAGTCTGTAAATGCTTTTGTATACTTAACTCAAATAATGCTTATTACTTACTTTTATACAAGAATGGGGAGGCGGTGAGCCTTGCGTTTAGTGGGAAGATTATTATATCACGTATCATTAAATCACCCATCAACTATATGAAACCGGTACATAACAAATATTCTCCTGCAACGAAAGTAATAATTAGCGAAATCATGACTGAAAAAAAGCTGGAGGTTATCAGGAGGGCGGCATCCAGCGCCGCGGACGCCTCAAAGCCTCACATTCATAACACAATTCTCTCCAGAATAACAAGCTTCCGCGTCATCCTGCACACCCAGAGAACCACATGATGCATCCTGCAATGTGTAATAGACCAGGAGGGAACTTATGCATCCATAAAAGGGTTAAAACTCACCTTCTAGGACTAGACGCTTGGCTCCATCACATAGGCAGTTCGGCCATTTTCTTCCCCAAGCTTCCCTGGAGCCGCCAGTGTTACCATCCCGGCCTCTACAACCTCGCCAAAACCGCTACATTGCCTTTTTCTCATCTATAACGTATAATACACCACTATTTAAAGAATATTCTAATTAATAGAAAACATGCCCAAGATTTCCAAAAGTTATATCATTCTAAAATGCTTTCTATAGAGAGAGACCATCATATGTCTCCATAATTGGAGTTCAATGAACGTTCATTCAAAATTATATTGATCCAGAATGTGTAAAAGGAGGAACAAGTGAAGACCATCTTTGATTGTTCTAAAATAGTTTTAAAATACTAGACCACTCCGTTGTTTTATATGCTCCTGCACATATTCTGAAAGTATATCATAGAGATGATAAATATCAAAATACACAGGACGGAAAATAAGTTTCTCATTTGGAAATTTCTAGAGCAGGCCTTTGTGTTGAATGTAGGATTCAACTATGGAAATATTATTTTTTACGTGGTACAGTTTAGGTGTAGATTATCACCTTATTTTTTATCTTTATACTCGCATTATAAACTATTACACAGTAGCTGTTTTCTCAACATTTGATGTTCCACACAGAAAGTCTCCAATTTCAGAACCGCGTTTCAGTTTTATTATTCAAATATGGGAAAATTAACCATACCCCGGCCGGGATTGAACACAAGAACAAAAGAACAGGGATGCAGTCCGTTTTATAATAACTTTATTATCATTTATCATGATAATTAGTGTGACTCGTTATATACATACAAGCAGCATTCACATTTACCATCATATCCCTCGTGTCCAACTCTCCCGGAACAATGCTATGCACATAAAGGGCCCGGTCTGTGTAAATTCCTTCAGACACGGAGGGCCCGCTCCTGCCTGATACATTTCAAGCACTTTACTTACACCTTTGTCCCAATTACCTAGCAGCAAAACCTTGTTAGTGACTGTGTGGTCCTTCTGGACAAATAAGGACCCAATAAATAATTGAATTCTCGATTGACGCACTTGACTTTTTGTTTCGGGTGGCTAACCTCCGGGTTACAATCAACGAAATCTATCTATCTCTTAATGTAATCATGCAGAACACACTAAAGGCCCCTGCTGCCTGCATCAATTTAAGGCCATAGCTTAAAATCACCTTCATCGCCAAATTAACAGACAAACTTACTTAATATTCAGTCACTCAAAAGATCCTAAATAATTTATTTAAATTATTTAATTATATTATTAAGACATGAGTACATATGTACAAAGAACATGGTTATTAACATGCAAGCCTCGTATGAGAGTTAATGGGTAAGGCTTAAATTAACTTAAGATTAACTAAGCAATGATATATTCGTGATTAAAAATTACAGTAAAAAATAAAAATTAAGCAAATGATATTCAAAGACAGATAATGGTCATTTGATGAGTTACTGTGCATCCAAGAGAATTGAGTATCTATTAAGTAATGTAATTAAAAAAAAGTTGATGGCACAGGTTATAATTTATGAGATACATATGCAGTATTTAGTTGTGGGTGAGTAAGTGGTTTTTAAGAAGAGACTTGAATTTATAAAGAGTTTCTTTTATGTTCACAGTAATGAATTCCAGATTTTTGAGCCTTTTATGTGCATTGAGTTTTTGCATAATGTGAGATGGACACGAGGAACATCAGAGAGTGATCTGTGTCTTTTTTTATGGTCATGTATTCTGTTGAGGTTGGTAAGGAGACTTAAAATTGTTTAAATTTCATTATTGTATATTGTGCTTGATGATTGCTCAACTATTTAACCCTAATTAATTCAAATTTAAAAATTTCCCTTTCAACTTTCATTGTTTTAAATTTGCTAAATTGTAATATTGTATTTTTTATAAACTATAAAATCAAAAAAACTTGTAATTTATTTCTTTACTGAATTTTTAACCAAAATACCTGAAATTGATATTTCCTTTTTATTTTAAATTATTTTACTCCCAAATGCCCATATAAAATTTCTGCAAAAATTTGTTTTTGCCTTATTAATTTAATTTTTTCCCCTTTTAAATGTCTGCATATAAAGGGACTTTTTTTTTTGTTAAAATTGCCCATCCCCTTTTGGGGGTACAAAAATTATAATAAAAAAATAATAATATAATATAAATTTTTTTTACTACAATTTACAAGGGAAAGATATACATCCGGGTTGAACCCCAGTGACATACTACTGCATAAGAAGCCATTTGTTATGCTGAGAAATTCGGGCAAATTAAGTCCAGTGCCCCAGGATGCGCCCCACACCAGTCGATTAACACCCAGGTACCCATTTTACTAATGGGTGAGCATAGACAACAAGTGAAAGAAAACACGCCCAAATGTTTCTACCTGGCTGAAATCGAACCCAGACCCTTGCTGTGTGAAGCGCGAGCTTTTACCACCAGGCCATCATCACCATGTATCATTAAAATAAACTTGTTATTGTTATTGTTACCTTGCTACCTTGGCTAACTCAGTGAATTTATCTCTCTGATCAATATTCAAATTTAAATTCAAATCGTCTTAAAAAAAAAACTCTTGTAATTTACTTGTTTTCCATAGAACATCATAGTGTTTGTTTTAGTTTAATATTCTTATTATACACCCCATACCCGTGGTGTGGACAGAAGTCAAAACATTACACAGGTACATAATGGGTCCAGGGACTGGACTGCAAAGCCTTAATAGCTAAACGAGTTACAGTAGTAATGAACTATTTATAGGCTTATATCTGGTTACAATCGTAATGAGTTATTTATGTAGATATGAATTAGGTCACAAAATATTACTTTATATTTTAGGAAGGTATGCTTGTAAAAAATAAGTGGTTATGGTTTTTTTTACAGTGGGCAATGTCTGGGTATTTTTCCAGAATGGTTGCTGATATGCTACCGTGGATAAAATACTTTGACATACATTTCTTGATCATTTCTGAGCGTGTTGTCTCCGAATTCATTAAGTTTATTACATTCCAGCACCTAATGACGCAAGGTGTGACAATTATCCAGCTAACAAAGTTTACATTTAGTTTGGTCTACATCATCTGGTGGTGGTGATTTAACCCCCCAAGAGAAACTGGTAGGATGGCCCGGTGGCCTGGTGGCTAAAGCTCCCGCTTCACACACGGAGGGCCCGGGTTCGATTCCCGGCGGGTGGAAACATTCGACACGTTTCCTTACACCTGTTGTCCTGTTCACCTAGCAGCAAATAGGTACCTGGGTGTTAGTCGACTGGTGTGGGTCGCATCCTGGGGGACAAGATTAAGGACCCCAATGGAAATAAGTTAGACAGTCCTCGATGACGCACTGACTTTCTTGGGTTATCCTGGGTGGCTAACCCTCCGGGGTAAAATCCGAACGAAATCTTATCTTATCACCTGGAGCATGGGGGCAGTGACATCCAGGAGTCTTACACAACTTGTCAGACACTGCAACATCATGGAATCTTGGTTCAGAGGACATCTACAAGACCTTCTTCACGGCTGCTACAACTAACCCATCCCTTTGGGTAGGACTACTTACACTGGGGAAGCCCGCCTACCAGTGACTATGCCCTCGTCTGATACATGTCCCTATCCACTGACGCCTATATAACCGCCAGTCTCCTTGCCTTTGCTCCAGATTCTTCACCACCACGATGCTGTGAACACTAACTTTAAGGCTGAGGGACTGATTACGTCATTTTCTGTATATAGTTCTACTGTCTTCTAATTATGTCATAGAACCTCTATTGATAAAGCCACTGGATGGCGAAACGTCTACACTAAAGATATCCAGATGTTGCACATGTGTCTTAATTTACACATCCAGAAGTCTGCTTATTACTGTTGGATGTACCATAGACATGTGGCTCCTCCTGCATGATAGTGATGATAGGTGCACTGATTCCTTCAGTCTCAAGTCAATGAAACTTAATTGAAGTTCTTTTCGTATTATTGTTCTCAAATTGCTAAATTACAGCCCAAGATTGTAGAATATTCCCTCTCTGAAGGCAGTATAATGCAATCAGTACATTATATCAGTTCTATCATATATCTGAAGACCAATGTGAGATGGAATCAATAGGTGTAGTCTAACTTCACTGTCTACAGTCCTACCATACCTGTGTCTGGCTTCTGATACAAGCTTGCCACAATTGTTAGTCAAGGAGATAAGAGCATTTATGGATGATAAAGAATCGGTTATAATAATGGTGGTAACCTTTGATACACAGGGCCGGATTACCGCATAGGCAATTGCCTAGGGCCCCGCGCATTTGGGGGCCCCGCGGTCCAAGGGGTTCAGGGGCTCATCCAAGACTGCACACATGGTGCAAGTGCAAAGGGGTCCCTACCTAAAAAGTTCAAGTGTTTGGAGAGTAAAATTGATTTTTAAAAATTAATCAAAACAAAAATAAATAATGAAATAAAATAAAATAAAAATAAATAAACCTAACCATAGATGGCAACACTCAACACGCCTTTGTTTACATCAGAACAGCTGTGTTTTCCCGCTAATGGGTGAGTATGGGAGATTCCTCTCCAATTTTCTGTAGTAATTACACGTTATCTAGACTTGTACTGTGACAAATTAACTGAAGTGTTGTTGATAGACATTGATGTGTATGGATAAATGTTTGTTTTCGCCTCTAAATGTTAAGGGAGGTACCTGATAGGGTTACTTGACCAGTAAAGACGCATGGACCAGTAAAGACGCATTTTTGGTAAAAATACTATAAAGAAAAATCTAAAAAACGCAAACTGACTTCCGTTTGTAGGTTTTAAAAGCACTTTGTCCGTCTTTAAGTCTTTATCATTTCCAATAACAGATCTCATTTGATTGATGTTCTACATCACTTCCGTCGCAAATGCTTAGTTTTCAAGTTGCGACGGAAGTGATGTAGAACATCAATTAATTTACTACATATTTCCCCAGAAACACATAAGCACATCAGAAAATCGTTTGGCTGGGTGAAACTGAAAATTGTCCCTGCATTCTTTAATTCTCATGTCCTTGTCTATGGTGGTAGGCCATATATCATGCAAAACATAATGATTAGTTTAGTTATGAAATGGTAATATAATACATTGTGCATTGTTCTTGGACTCAGTATGATTTCTGTTTAAGTAAATTGGAGATCAAGGAGGATGAATTAGTAAAATATTCGTAGCCCAAATCA